GAAATGTCACCTCCGCAGCTCGCACGTGGATGACGCTCTTTCGTCTTTCCACTCTATTCTTAGCAGGGCCATGGAGAAGCACCTCGGGTACTTCTCCCGGCGTCCACTCTCCCCCTCATGCCGACGTTCAGGTCAGCCACCTTGGGTTGATGCCCCCCCCCCCCCCTCCGTGCCGCCATTAAGGCAAAGCACGATTTCTACAGTGTGTGTAAGAAATACCCAACCCAGCTTAACATGCACTTATATCGATCTCAACGGAACTTGGTGAAGAGTCTGACTCGATCGAAATACCAGGGATACATTCGGTCCGTACAAGCTACGCTGCAGGACAAAAACCGCCCATCACTGTTTCAGTTCGTAAACAAATTAAAAAATCATAAAGTATCTCGTGACATCCCGACACTCACCATTAGTTCTACACAGCAGGCTACTACCTCTTCAGGTAAAGCCACTGCATTGAACTCTCAGTTCGCCTCAGTGGCCGTGCCTGATGACCCTTCTCTACCCATTCCCCCCATTGCCGAGGAGTCGGGTGAGGTTGACCGCCTCACATCTGTCTTTACTACGACTGCTGCCATTCGACGTTACATTCGAAAGCTCCCGTCTGACAGGGCTCCGGGCCCAGACGGCATCACTAATCTGGTATTAAAGTCCCTTGCGCCCTCAATAGCATACCCCTTATGTCTGATTTTCAACCTATCATTCCGCACTGGTCGTTTTCCCTCTGCATGGAAAACAGCTAATGTTATACCGATCTACAAGAAAGGGTCCCGCCACGAAGCATCAAACTACCGTCCGATATCTCTACTGTCCTGTGTTTCCAAACTCTGTGAGCGCGTTTTCTATGACCAATTGTACTGTCATGTCTCGTCACGTTTGAGTTCAGCTCAGTCCGGATTTCGCAGAGGCGATTCTACCACCCTCCAGCTGACGCGCCTGGTGCAATTAGTGTGTCGACATCGGGATGCTGGAGATCTAGTCGGGATTTGTTTTTTCGATCTTGCCAAGGCCTTCGATACCGTCTGGCACCGGGGGCTTTTGGCCAAGCTTCGTGGATCATTTACTGTAGACGGCAATCCCCTGCTATGGCTGACATCTTACCTAACTGGGTGAACCCAGTACGTCACGGTACATGGGACGTCCTCGGCCGACACAACAGTACTATCCGGAGTTCCCCAGGGTTCCATCCTCGGCCCCCTTCTTTTTATTTTATACGTCAATGATCTGCCCGCAGCTGCCCCGGGCACATCACTGTTCGCAGACGACACAACGCTCCTACAAGCATCTCCTAACATCACTGGCCTAATGAGTAACCTAGCTAACGGGATTCAAAGAGTAATTTCCTGGATGTCGTCTTGGCGGTTATCGCCCAATCTGTCTAAAACTAAAATCATGCTCTTTCCTTCTCAGCCCGATGTTCTGCCCCTCCTCCATCCCACTTTCCCCCAGCCTATAGACATAGTCTCCAGCCATAAGCATCTTGGCATTTTCATTGACTCTAATCTTTCATGGGAACCCCACATCGATTACATATGTAAACGATCAAGTTGCACCCTCTTCTGTGCGGAACTGGAAAGAAGCATCAAAACCGCTAGAGCCGAAGGTGACGACTTCCTACTACTTGGAGACTTCAATGCCAAGAACAGTGCGTGGCTCACCACAGACAGAACAGATCGCCTTGGGGACGACATACAAACTCTGCTACACACATACGGCCTCACACAACATGTCAGATTCCCTACTTACATCCACCGACAAACACCTCTCTCATGTCTAGACCTTGTTATCTCCTCACTCCACACCAATGATATTCATATCCAATCACTTCCACCGTTTGGCGCATCCGATCACACTACTATCAGTGGCCACATCAATAATCAACTGCCCCCCCCCCCCCCATAATTAACAACTCCCCTCCACGATCGAGAAGCACCACATTCTGGTCATGGACAGACAGCACTATCCACCTTCTTCAAGAAGCCCTTTCACGCACAAATCTCAACCACCATCTAAACCAACACGACCCATGCCCAGTTGACACCTTCTGGCGATCCTGGCGCGACAATGTCATGAGCATCGCCCAAGAACACTGCCAAATTACTCGCACTCACCCCCCTTGGGACAGGAAGAACGTGCCAGCACGACCATGGATATCAAAGGGCCTCTTGAAAGAGATCAAGGATAAGCACAGAAAACACAGAATATACCTTCACTCACGCTCGCCTGACGACTGGAACACGTTCACTGCCCAAAGAAACCGTGTCACCACCCTCCTGCGTCGTGCTAAATCGGATTTCGTAAACAACTCAACAGCCTCCTCTACTTCCCTACACCGCCTCATGAAGCACCTAACTACAGCTACAAAACAACGCATACCCGAACTCGTCAGCCAAGCAACTCCTGCAACGACACCAGCACAAAAAGCCGCTGCCCTCAACGAATTCTTCATTTCACAGAGCAAGCTGTCCGTGGCCAATGCGGATGAGCAAACTCCAGCCAT